GCCAGATGCACTGTAACCGAAGACTTTGACGTAGTAAGTAGATTGTTGTCACCTCGTCCTTCGTTGTGGCTCTCAACGCATCAGCACAATCAACGGTCTCAGTCGTGGACTTGTCTAGATTATTCAGAATCATTGAGTGAAATTGTGTGATACTCATCTTTTCGTAAAGCCTGTCTCTTCTATTCCTTATTTATATAATAGAATCAAAATCCTTCCCCGAGCATTCATTGTGTTCGGGACATAGCAGATTAAAGTTTGTGGTAAAGCCTACGAAGCAACGAATATTATTGTCTTGGTGCTCCGCCAACTTTGTCGTTGCAGCCTGGAATTTACCATTAATCCCTGGTTAGTATTTGTTAAAATTGTGAAAAGTTAATTTTCGACCTCTGACCTCTCACAGCTTCAGAAGTTGAACATCCTCATCGACTTCGATGACAATGGCTACCTCCTGCAGCTGTTCACCAAGCCGATGCAGGACCGCCCGACCTTGTTCCTAGAGGTCATACAGCGACACAACCACCAGGTACGCTGCGACGAAGCTGGGGTGGGGTGGGTAAAGCAGAAGGCTTACTCAATTGTTTATTTTAGGTATTAAATTATTTGGTTGCGTTATTTTTCACGGCGTTTTAGTATGTTTTTGTGTGTAATTACCCTTAACGATGTGCATGTAAATATTTTTTGGCTTCAATTGTGCACAAAATAAGTCAGTAATGTCAATATATGTAGTATATCAATATATATAAGTAGTAAGTCAGTATAAGTCAATGATAAATTACAATTAAAATAGATGATGATAAATTATCTACCTATCTGTCTACCTGCCTGTTTGTCTCTTTGTCTGTCTTTCCGCCTGTCTGTCTGTCTATCCCGCGACCTGTCTTTCTTTCTATCTATCTATGTGTCTATCTATCTATCTATCTATCTATCTATCTATCTATCTATCTATCTATCTATCTATCTATCTATTTATTTATCTATCTATCTGTCTGTCTGCCTGTCTATCTATCTATCTACCTATCTATTTATTTATCTATCTGTCTGCCTGCCTGTCTATCTATCTATCTATCTATCTATATATATATATATATATTTATTTATTTATTTTATTATATCTACCTATCTATCTATTCTATCTATCTATCTACTATCGATGTGTCTGCATGCATAGCTTTTCAGAAGTATATTATTGCGAATTGTTTCACTGCCACGCAGGGCTTTGGAGCAGGCAACTTCAAATCACTATTTGAGGCCATCGAATTTGGAGCAGGAAGCAAGAGGAAACCTGTAGGAAGGAAAGCGAAGAGACCTGTTCCAGAGAAGTTATACTGCAGAGAACAACGACAAAGAGACTTGCAGGAAGAGGGAAGGAGAATGCATGGTTGGATCCGGCACACCAAGCGAAACTTGTAGACGTACTTAAGGAAGAAAACATGCAGACGGCCATGCAGTCAGTGCTAGAAGCTGTGCAGATGTCATGTGAGACTATGACATTGTCAGATTAGAATGCCTACAGAGACGATTGGAAGCTGGTTAAAGATTTCGGACGACCTGTACCAGGATAGTACTGGCATTGCGCACTGACATCTTTTGCTTCCATTCTGATGTGTAGGCCTACACTTCAGTATATATAGATATAAATACTGCTAGTTACTTTGTAATTATCCAAGCCCAGTGATGCTCTCAATTAATGTTTCATCACAATACATGCTAGTGTCAGTATAATTTTATAGTTGCTTTAGGATGTAGTGATATCACAGTGACTGCATAAGTCTGCATTGTACTATCTGTCAGCATCAATTAAAGCTGTGCTGTATTAACAGAAAAGAATTTAGACTTACCAGGTGTAGGTTTGCTATATACAGTTTATTCCAGCATTGCATGTTCAGGTTAGTGTTTTGGGTGATACTGTGTAGTAGTTACACATTAGATGCGTCAACTTAATCATTATGCCCCTGGTAGTTTCAATCATTGTAAATATGTTTACTATCATTACAAAATATTCATTCCAATTATTCAATGAAAATTTGCTCAATACTTTATAATACACTAATCCAATAATACTCATAGTGCCAATATATGTCTAGTAAAAGTTGGATCTTCTCTTGTTTGAACGTGCGTCAACGTTTTGTACGTCCAATGTTTTGTGTGTCAGTGTTTTAACGATCTAACCTAAAACTCTAGAGTCTAGACATATCACATGGAATATTCACAGCAAGCGGTATTTATTAACCAGCATGTACAACAAACGCAATACAACGTCACAGAATTTAATACATCGCATTCGTTGCTTTATGAATATTGTAAGGACAGCTACCGGCATTTCGCGCTCATAACACTATGACGTCTGTCAGATGAAAACCTCTGTCTGAGCTATATCACATTTACATAATTTATATTCATCGTGACATATATAGTAAATACCGACAGCTTTATTTATTAGAAGAAAAACATTAACATGTTTATTTATTACACATTGTGAAAGTAACAGCTGGTTAAATTGAAAGTTTACCAATCACCTTATGGCTTATATTCTATTTGTAGGGCGGATAAGCACATGGATTGTGCACTTTCGTTAGAATTGTGAAACTGCCACGACGCTCCTGAAGCCCAATTTAAACAGCGCCACCTGGGTGGCGTACGGCGCCCTGCGAGTACCCGGTATGCGTTATACCACTATTAGTTTTGGCTATAGTTTCAATAATACTCATCCTCAGTCTTTAGTCAAAAAATAGCTCAAATGATTTGCTGTATATCTATATACTAAGACTATAGCAGAAATTTACTGAGTGTAGTTATTTTTTAAAGGATTTGTGTCGAGCTTTTACTGTCAAAATAACCCAGTCACACTTTGAATGTCATATATATATATATATATATATATATATATATATATTCTTCTATAGTATTTCAAATAATGTCAAAATCATCACGCAGTACTGTTGCTACTACATGGGCTAACATATGCGAAATTACCGCGCTCCGATAACAAATGCTGTGGGCGAATCACTAGCTCGTGACGTCACATCGTCCTGCCAGGCGCGCGTTAGCCACAGGGACTTGGAACGTTTCAATAGTAAAATGATGGTGAATACACACGAAATGTGTGTTACTACCAAAGTCGTAATGTTTCTCTACTCTCTTTTCCTTATTAATACCGATATTTCCCTGTAAATGCCGTTCAAATACTCCTCTGCAAGAGACAAGCATACCCGCACGCACGCCACTGGTGCAAAAAAACAACAAGAATAAAGAGAAGTAGAAATACAAGAGAATAACTCTCTCGAGAAAAAAGAAAATTATGCATTTAAATGAAGTTAGGTACCTTAACATAGATTTATATAATACATTACATCAGTTAAACCTCTCTTAAAAAATAGGGAAAAGACCTTGCTTGTAAGGTGCCCGCCACATATACCAGTCAGTACACAATAGGCTACGATAGTGTGTTCGCGCATGCGCAATATCTCACCAGAGGAGTTATCTTTGTGATTAATATGCATTTAATACGGTTAGGGGGTACGCAGCATAGGTTTTTGTAATAAATTTTTATTCGTAGAACCTTGTGTTTATAATTAGGAGAGCGCCCTGCCTGTAGGGTGCAAAACTCCTACTTTATCTCCTCCCGTCCTCCCCTTGCCTCTCTTGTCCTCGCTCAGCTCCGGCGTTTTTTTACTGCCACTCGGGTATCTTCCCTGACGCCTCCTTAGGCTCCCTCCCTCTCTTTCGGCAAGCTATATTTTGCAGTTTCTTTAGTCTGTACTGCACGCATGAAATGTGCTCGCGCATGCGTAATATCTCCCGAGGAAGAACAATTTTTGGAAAAAAATTATGCATTTAAAAAAAAGAGGAGTTATCCTAGCATAGAGTTATATGATGGAATTCAATCAGTAAACCCTCTCTTAAGAAATAGGAAGAAGACATTGCATGTAAAGGTTCCGTTGCATATGCCAGTCAATACACAAACTGGCTACCTTAGTGCGTTAGGCAAGCGCAATATCTCCACAAGAGCGGAGTTATATTTTTGTGATGAATATGCATTTAATAAATTAGCGGGTATCTCGAGCAATATTTTATATGATAAATTGTTATCCAGTAGACCTGTGTTTATAATTAGGAGAGCGCGCTAGCCTGTAGGCATGCAAAACTTGCTACTTCAATCCCCTCCAGTCCTCCCCCGTGCCTCTCTTGGTCCCTGAGCAGCTTTCGTCTTTTTCTACCCCCCCCCCCCCAACTATCTTTTTCTGGCCGCCTTTTCCTCAGTCTCCCACCCCTGTGTCCCTCGGCAAGCTTATATATGCAGGTTTCTTCTGTTCGTACTGCACGTTGAAACGGTGTTATATTTTGTAATGAATATGCAATTTAATATGATTAGGGGGTATCTCAGCATAGGAATCTGCTAATAAAGTTTTATTAGTAGCCCTGTGTTCATAATTAGGAGAGCGGCCCTCTGTAGGGTGAAAAACTGCTACTCAATCCCCTCCCGTCCTTCCCTTGCCTCTCTTGTCCCTCGCTCAGCCTCGCGTGTTTTTCTACCCCTCAGATATCTTTTCCTGCGCCTTTTCCTCAGTCTCCCACCCCTCTCTCTCTCGGCAAGCATATATTATGCAGGTTCTTCAAGTCCGTTATTGCACGCCTAAAACGGTGCTCGCGCGATGCGTAATCTCCGAGAAGTATGAATATTTGCAAGAACTTATGCCATTTAAAAATGAGGAGGAGTTACCCTATAGCATAGATTTATATGATAGAATTCAATCAGTAGACCTCTCTTAAGAAATAGAAGAGACCTTGCATGTAAGGGTGTCCGTGCAATATGCCAGTCAGTAACACAATCTTAGTTACGTGTGTTAGCGCAAAACTGCTACTTAATCCCCTCCCGTCCTTTCCTTGCCTTCCTTGTTCCTCGCTCAGCCTCCGTCTATTCGTACACCCCTCACTTATTTTTCTGCCGCTATATTGCATTGCTCTTTGTGCATGTGATTAGGCGGCAATGGACGGTGTCTATACTAACTGAACTACTGAATGAAAAATAAATATTAGGTAATATAATCAATATATATATATATGCAGGTAATGTAGAGAATGCAGCGATGAACCCTTTTCATTGTGTCGACCTAATTTTATTCTAACGCAAAAGACAGCTACACTTATATATGTTTGCTATAGTAGTAGTAGAGATACCAGCGAATCATTTGAGCTATTTTTTGACTAAATTGATGAGTAGTTATTGACAATTATAGCCAAATCCAAATGGTGGGACCGATACCCAGTTAAACCGACAGGGGACGCCGTACACCACGTGGTGGCCACTGTTCAATTGGCACTATAATTAGAAAAATTATCATGGGCTTCATTTAGTACACATGTCAGTTTCACATTTCTGCTCAATTGCCACCTATCAAAAACCCAACAGGAACACGAGTATCAAGTGCGTGTGAAGGTACACATTATTTCGTGAACAATGGTTGCATCCATTACGCTGTTATGTTTTCGATACAGCTGTAACCGCTATTAAATCATCGTCACTGCAATCTTGTTTACAATAACGTGTTTGCAAAGCCATATGCATGCTCTATGCAAACCTAGCGAGTGTTTCAGTGCATAAACATTGACGTCATATGGCCATGCCGCGTTTTAACGGTTGGCAGCAAGCAGATGCGTGAATTGTCGATACAAGCACATTCACGCACGCACGCACGCACGTGTACGTACACCCGCACGCACGCACGCACGCACGTGTACGTGAACACGCACGCACACACGCACGCACGTCTACGATAAACATGCATGCCAGCACGCACGCACGCACGTGTACCTGCACACACACGCACACGCAACGCCACGCCAACGCACGCACGTACGCACGCACGCACACACGTGTACGTGCACACGCACACACGCACACACGTGTACGTGCACACGCACACCACGAACGCACGCCGCACGAACATGTACCTGCACACGCGCGCACACACGCACACACGCACGCACGCACAGTGTACGTTGCCACACACACGGACGCACGCACGCATGCACGCACGTGTAAGTTCACACGCACGCACGACGTGTACTTGCAACACGCGCGCACACACGCACGCACGCACGCACGTGTACGTGCACACGCAGCAGGCACGCATGCGCACATTCAAGCACATTCAGCACGCACGCACGCATGCCACGTGTACGTGCACATTTACGCACGCACGCATGCACGCACGTGTACGTGCACACGCACGTACTCACGCATGCACGGGCACGGTACGTGCACACGCGACGCACGGCCGCACGTCTACGAGGCACACCGCACGCACGCAACGCATGTGTACGTGCCCCGATATGCAGATACGCACGCGCGCCACGTGTACATACAAAACGCACGCCACGCGCGCATGCACACACGTGTACCTGCACCGCACGGCATGCACGCAGGGTGTACGTGCACACGCCACGCCCGCACGTATATGTGCATACGCACGTCGCCACGCAGTGTAACGTGCACACGCAGCGCATCAGGTACCTGCACACACACGCACGCACGTGTACCGGAACACGCACAGCACTCACACACGCACGCACGCCCACCTGCGCGGCACGTGTCTACGGCACACGCACGCACGCCACGCATCTACGCATGTGTGACGTAATACGCCACGCACGCACGCACGTAACGACGCACGTGTACTTTCACACGCACCGCCACATCAGCGCACTACGCACGCACGCACGCACGCCTATACGTTGCACACGCACGCAGACACGCAGCGTTACATACGACACGCACGCACGCACGCACGCACGCACGCACGAACGTCTACGTGCACATGCATGCACGCACGCACGTACGCACCAACGCAGTCATGCACACACGTGTACCTGCACACGCACGCACGCACACAAACACGCATGCCCGCACGTGTACATGCACACGCACCCACACACACACGCATGCACGCACGTGTACGTGCACACGCACGCACGCACGCACGTGTAAGTTTACACGCACGCACGCACGCACACACGCACGCATGCACGTGTACGTGCACACGCACGCACGCACGCAGCACGCACGTGTACGTGCACTACATAAACAGCGCTTTCTATCAGAACATCTGGTCATTCATCTGTAAATGTCAAGCAGAACGCTTCGCTTCTGCCAACCATGACACATAACAAATACACGTGACCTGATCTATGACGTCACGTGATCTATGACGTCAGTCGATGATAGTGGAAGAAAAATTCTCATTATTTTTCACCCATTTTATTGTTTCAACCTAATTTTATTACAACTAAACGATAACTACACTCACTAAATTGCTGCTATAGTATCAGTATAGATACCTGCGCATCATTTTAGCTATTTTTTAAATAAATTGGATAGGTATTCAATAGCGCTGTTCAATTGGCAATATACTGTATCAGAAAATTTTCAGGACCTCATGTAGTACGCGTTTGCAATGTGCTTATCCGCTGCACTATATGCAAAGTTTTCTGTAGCTATGTATATATATATATATATATATATATAAAAATATATATATATATTCAAGAGCTAATAATACTTTTATTATTATTACTATTATTAGCTCTTGATATATTGTATATTATACACATGAGTATCTATATATAAGTTTTTCAGCCAAATTAGTTCGTACTCGCATAACTAGAGAACTCCGCAGCCTAGAGGAAAACTAAAGATATTTTCACAATCAGCACGTCTGGGATGTGGTTCTGGCAGAAACAAATATGTTAAAAAATTAAAAAGTTAAAAATTCATAAAAATTCTATTCACCAATTGATGACGGTGCGTACAGATTAACATCCCGTACGTGTGAATCCATGTGTATACCTTTAACGGCGCAGTGGCCTAATCGCTAGAACATACGTCTCCTACACCGGGATTTCTGGGGTTTGAGTCCCAGCTGGGAAACTTATTTTCCCTTTACCTACCTCTTTAGTATATACTATTTTTAATATTTTAATTTTTAATTTTTATATTTAATGTCTTATCTTTTGATTTTATTATTTTACTATTGGGATGGAATGGATGGATGAGATGCATGCGATGGCGATGGCATGCATGCATTGATGAGATGGGATGGGATGGGATGGGATGGGATGGGATGGGATGGGATGCAGTGCGATGGGATGAGATGGCATGGCATGGCATGGCATGGCATGTCATGGGATGGCATGAGATGGGATGGGATGGCATGGCATGGCATGGCATGGCATAGAATGGGATGCATAAATGGATGCATAGATAGATAGATAGTTAGAGTTTTTTGGATATTTTCCTTTCAACCAAGCGATCACCAACTGAGTAACGCCACTGATTTCCCAGCGCAACGCCGAGTATCCCGCTAGTACATATATAATAGTATTACAGCTACTAATAAATTCTTGAGAGAATACATAATTTACATCGGCAAATAAATCATAAAACAAAACAACTAATACTATTTTACCAACACCGTTACAAATACAACATTAATGTACAATATGACACCATTTAAAAAGTAGCATGCAAACAGTAACGTGAAATATGAGATCATTTTAGGTCCTTGGGACATGGTCATCGGGACTATAAACTTTAAAATAAGACGCATTTCCTAAATTTATGGTTCCCAACCACAGGTGCCGATTAACAGCGGGACGAGTTTACACTGCTTCTCTAATGAGTGACTGGTGCTGCATGTCCATCATAGATAGGGTAACATCCCATTTCGCCTACTCCCCCCCCCCATCCCCATTCCATTCCATTCCATTCGTCTACCCCCCCCCCCATTCCATTTCGTCCAATCCATTTCGATTCCATTCGATTCGTCTACTCTCAGAATCAGCATTATTCCCATTTCGCCTACTCCCACTGTACTATGTCCCATTGTATGTTCCAATTTTGTGTCTCCATTTTTGTCAAGTTGTGTTCTCATTATTTGTACCTGTTTTCTTCTGGTTCCTGTAGTATATGTATGCCAATCAAAACCATATTTTATTATTTATAAATGATTATTTAGTAAACAAACCGATCGTAGACGAAATGGGAATGGGGTAGATTTTGAGCGTAGACGAATTGGGAGTAGGCGAAATGGGTGTAGGTCAAGTGGGAATTTTGCTGTAGGCGAAATGGGAGTAGGCGAACCGGGAATAAACCATAGATAGATATGGTAAAGATGTGATTACTAACTATTGTGTCTCATACCCCGTACAGACTGCAAAATTTGATCCTACATCAAACTAGTCGGGGCCAAGCCCGGGCTATAGACGCGCGCTAAATCGCAGCATACAGACACCAAATTCTGAAGCGTGCTAATTTGGCACGGGTTGACTGTGCATGCTCAGTTTAGCTTGTTACGTCACTCAGCAGACAGCTGCTGTACTTTTATGTGACCCAAATAACGCTATGCGCATGCATATTGCGAAATTTAATGTGGGCATGGCACCGGATTGTGTACACACACAGTCTAGTGCAGTCTAACTTAGTATGGTCTAACATAGCACGCTTCTAAGCGGGCTTGGCCCACCTCCTTTTGTGGGGCCAAATTAGTCAGGACTAGCACGTATTTAGCGTGGCATAGCGTGTACACACTGCAAAAATTTAGCGCGCATCAGGCCCGGATTAGTTTCATCTGGGATCAAATTTGCAGTCTGTACGGGGTATTACTCAGTCAGTGCCCAGTGGTACCATGACCATACGTGCTACTCAATAGCTCAGTAGGAATTTGTTTCAAGATATTGAATACAACAATTTACAACCTGAATGGATCCATTTCTATTTTCAATTTCCAATTATAATAAGTGAAAAATGGATATCCTCATCAAATAAATATAATTGCACACACATATGAACTTATTTAAATTAATGTGAAATTCGAACCAACTGATCGGGGGGGGTAGCAAGGTTGGGAACCACTGTCATGATAGTCCAAACTAATTTGGAAATATTTCTATGTCCCTGTTTTTCCTGGAATGCTGGCAACTGCACCACCAATAGTACATTCACGTTCAATCACAAACACTGAATATAATAATTTTTACATAGCAAAGTCATATGCTACTGATAAACATAAATTATTTAAATAATACTTATCTCTTTACTCATACTATAATTTATAACATGTCATCACTCTCAATTTATACAGTCCATACGTTTGTCAGAAATTTAGCTTTTATTAGCCAAGGCATACTTTACAGTATTCCTATAGATAATATATTTATGCTGCCAAACAGTGTTCAATTGAGTCAACGACCCATATCACCCAATTAGAAATGACTATTTCAATATGTCCAATTTTTCTGCAAGTACTGGGTTAAATCGGAACTAGCCTGTGCATTAGTGTGTTTTTCATGGTTATTTGGGTGTTATTGGACGTGATTTTATTTATTCGTATAACACAGAACAGTCACAAAGAAAGTGTTACACTGAAAAGGTAATTAGCCTACGATATAAGTTAGCAAATTACAACAACACGCAATTTGTATGTAATAAAATCCACAGAATAACAAGACCATAGCATAGCAACTAAATGCTAATGCAGTTTACAGCATCATGCAATAAATACACCCGTCATAACTCGGCCGATTCCGTACCTCCTTCCAACGTCGTTTGTATAATGCAGCAGGGTGCGAAAAATCGGGAGTCCGGAGTCAAATACTCCCCGATTTACTGTCGGACTCCCTGATTTGACATATGCAGGAGTCCGTGTGACTACCTGAAAATTCTGCTATTCTAACTAGTTCGTTCCAGAGCACGGCCTCGCGAAATTACCGTATTTTTTCACTAAAAGTCCAAAGAAAATTTGGCAGACCGCATGAATCTTAAAAATAAGCACGTGCATTATTGTTAATATCTTTAATTTTGAACTTCAGACTGCGAACTCCCTCTTTTTGAGGGTAGGGAATCCGTTGGACTCCCGTGTTCAAAAGTTGATTTCTACCCCTGATTCAGGTTGTCATAGCTGTACCTAATTGGTTTGGATTGGTCATACAGGAACCATATCATATTGTGAATAATGACTACACCAGAAATTCTGCTAGGGATAATTCTATGTAGTAATAATGTTAAGTACTCCTAACTCCTTACTTTGCAGTAATTCTGTTATATGATTGTAATGACAAAAAACAAAGCTAAGAATTTGGAGTTACTTTTAAGTTCTTCGTCGGCATTGTGTTCAGTTTCTGGCCGACTACAAATGAAATATGTATGGCCATAGGTTCACATCAACCAACGTGATACTGCGAGGAGAATGAATAAGAGGAGCAGATTCGTCCAGGTTTGCTAGATGGCAATAAATAGTTACTAGTGACGTGCTGCCACCTGGTGCTAACCCTACCGCAATAACGACTATTGGGGATAAACAACATTTCACATGGGCATGCCAAGAAACCACACACGAATAATGATACAATATGGCATAATAATCGCAGGCAACGCCTGCTAAACGCTGCTAATCTGAGGTTACTTCACTTACTTACTTACAGAACAGAAGGACACTGCTGTGGTCAAACAAACCACCACAAAATGCTACTTAAGCTTTGGCGTGCGCTGAGATGCTGTCACTTTCCTCCCGGAGGTGGGTGAGGGGGAGATTACTGGTCCTTCTCCTGTCTGGCGGTAGCTCTCTCTGCGGCGTCGATGGCAGCCATGTTCTGAGATGCGGTCACCAAGTGCACCAAGCTGATCCCGGTCTTTACCAGCGTCACCGGCGCGGCCAACACACACAGCAACTGCCAGAGTCCGACTCCAAACACTGCGGAAAAGACGGCTTCACTTATCGAACTTTTCTGCAGCGTTAGGCCACGCCTACATCGACATGCATCGCTTTACCCACATAGCGTTTACAGAGACACTGCCAGAGCAACTACGCTTCTATAAGCTCAGCGATCAGCGAACGAAAATCAAATTGCTCTCGCCTGTGAACAAAGGGTTGAATTCCTGGCTGCTTAGCGTATATATTATACCGGAGCTCTACTTACATGTAGGTCCGACAGTGAAGTGGCAGATGTAGAGCATGCTGTAAAACATCTCATTACCAGCACACATGAAGAACAGCACCGGCTGCAAATACAAACAATTCAACATCAACTCTCCTATTGTTACACAGCACACAGTGTCATATAATATGCGTAGCACTAGCACGAGAGAGAAGATGGGGGGAGATGGAGGATGGGCAGAGAAAAAGGTGTATGTGTGTGTGTGTGTGCGCGTGCGTGCGTGCGTGCGTGCGTGCGTGTGACTGTGTGTGTGTAGCAAGAGAGAAAGGGGGCTAGAGATAAAAGTGTAAAAGTGGGACAACATATGGAGCCCCATGACTCATTGACTCTATTGACATGTGACACATAAACAACTGGAATTATACAGAAGTAAAGAAGCGGTTATTCGTATTATTTACCACTAGAAGCTAACATACCCTAGACGTGTAGTAGAGTCGCAAAATCGGGTTGCCTGATAGGTCAATGGCTTTATGACTGGTGGCACCACTGACAGTTGAACTGAAATGATATCAGATGATATCAAATGATATTACGATGCCATCATGCAGACAAGGGACTCCTTCGTCGCTAATACATTGTCTGCTGTAAAGAATGGCCATTGTGTTCGAGGATTAAAACTTAATATAATTTCTTCTTAAAAATATAATTTTCTACAGGCTCTACCCGACTTGGAAATACTCTCAAATTTACGCACCAACCCATAAATTATTTACATTATTAACAAATTTACATTATAACTTCACATATCTCAAGACTTGTCATCACTTCCGCTATTTGTGTGAAAACGATTCGATTAAACCTAACCTATGTAAATGCAGCCAGTGACTAGAAATATCAACGGTCATGCTCAGCTGGAACCAGAACATCCATCGTGGATAGAACAATGACAGCGTGACAAGCAGGCACATGGTAGCGCACCGATCGGTCAGCATGTCTAGCATTGCGCCAAACTTCGAACCTGCAGCACAATATTATTAATATTATTATTAAATCTTTAATATGTATGATTCAAAAACAAGTACATGTACTAAAAACAGTCTTTTTCATAGAGAAAAATCTGATGCAATATATAGTGTTAAACAGCTACAATACTATAATTTCTAAGTAATACAATATCAACAGAACCTTAACTAGTAAAGTAAAGCAAATTAAAGGAGAAAGCAAGCAAATGAGACACAATACACAACCAAGTTGCTTCCAGGCACATAGGTGCAAACGGCATCGCCACTGAGGAATTCAGTGTGACACCAACTAAAGAACGACGGAGTGTATAATGAATGCAAATATCTGACTTGTCAAAGTGAGGTTAATTTGTTTGTTACTCAAAAACATTGTATAATTGAGTAAAGATCAGTAGTCAATTAGACTATCTGTGACTTAAACCTACTCATCTGTGGCTAAACCTGTTCATGATACTCTCTGTTTAATATACTTCACTTGATATAAAACGTACTTTGGTTGAAATAACGTGCTGCGTGGCCATCAAGGGCGTCGAGGAACGAGCTGATAATATAACACCAGACTGCTAAAGCGCAATCTGTCGCCATGTAGTAGAATGACACCAAGGCCAGTATAATTCTGGCATAACCTGTGAAATACATGAAAATAGAACTGACACTAGAGGAAACCCTAACTGTACAGCTAGTTAGTTTACAGATTGTAACCAAGTACTGAAACACAGATGCAGATGACGTGTGCAGCTTTTAGCAGCAAAGGCTGGCTGAATCTGTAACATCATATCATCATGAAAGGACCGTAGGCCTGCAGGGTGGGGTATGGGGTCGATTTCCTAAATGCCCGGCAGTTTTTAATTTTCAGCGTTATCTCAAGTAAGCAAGGGTTAGGGTTAGGGTTAGGGTTAGGAACTGCCGGGCATTTAGGAAATCGAAGATCGTGCCCGGCTGCCGGGCATATAGCCACAGCGTAATAAATAACCTACAAAATAAACTTGCTGCTGAATGATCTATTTGAAACAACTAAAACGGTCAATAGTTTCCAGTTTTTCCATTACAAAAACTTTTCAAATTCAAATTCAAATTCAAATTCAATTGGGGTATTGCAAATATTCAAGGTAGTGAAGCACACTAAGTTTGTGTTCTCAGTGAGATTTTAATTTATTGTGTATTTACTATTTTCCCCTTTTATATATATGAAAAACTTTCATACACATTCTTATGAGAATAGCACATTTTCATATTCAACTAGTACCTTGTGTCTAGCACCTTGCTGTAAATTAAGTACCAAAAATGTCAAAATATATGGGCATAATACCCAAAAAACAATAAGATTTTCCTTCATTTTTTTCCCGTTTGTGCTGAGGGTGGGGGGCGCCCCTGTACAGTGCACTACTCATCCCACAGGCACTTGGAACGTCTCAATAAAATAAAAATGTAAACACGAAATGTATTTACTACCAAAGTCTTAATGTTTCTCTACTCTATTTCGCCTATTATTGCCGATAATTACCCGTAAATGCCGGTCAAATGCTCATCTGCAACACACAAGTACACCACACGCCTGCCCTGTGCACAAACAACATGAATAAGAGAGCAGGTAGGAAAGCGTGATCGCAAAATTCGCTCGACACTCGCTTCATTTCACACGACTACAGAACGAAAACACACCAAACAGCCTCCATCTTGGTATCTATCTGTAGCTAAATGTTCACTTGTTCGAATTATAACTCTGTCCTTTGTTCTCACCTACTCCCGCCAGAGATATCTCGTGAAATCCTGCAGGAAATGTTTTCTCCGTGAAAATGTAAAGAGGACGTATCATCCGAAAATCCCTAACGGCGCTACTTTCAATCGATCACTAGTCGTGTGTGTGTGACGTCATGCCCGCACGCATTATGCTTGGCTTGGCGGGCCTCGAAACAGAGTCTCGGAGGCAGGCAGCAGCTCATCCCGGCATGCAATGCGCCCCATTACTCGTGTATAAACAGACATCTCGTCCTATTTACATTTTCACAGAGAGAACATTTCCTGCAGGATTTCACGAGATATCTCTAGCGGGAGTACAGGTGAGAACAGAGGACAGTTATAATTCGAACAAGTGAACATTTAGCTACAGATAGATACCAAGATGAATGCTGTTTGGTGTGTTTTCGTTCTGTAGTCGTGTGAAATGAAGCGAGCGTCGAGCGAATTTTGCGATCACGCTTTCCTACCTGCTCTTTTATTCATGTTGTTTGTGCACAGGGCGGGCGTGCGGTGTACTTGTATGTTGCAGATGAGCATTTCACCGGCATTTACAGGTAATTATCGGCAATAATAGGCGAAATAGAGTAGAGAAACATTAAGACTTTGGTAGTAAATACATTTCGTGTTTATTTATCATTATTTTTTTAATTGAGACGTTCCAAGTGCCTGTGACTCATCCCTTCGACTTCAGCGTGACACTATATATACTAATACTAATAGTATTACTATTACAGTCAGAGCACGTATATCATGTTACAGTCTAGATATTTTCATGGCGTTACTGAGTGAGTGATAGTGTCGCCGAGTTATAGTCAGTGATAGTGATACGAGTAGATTAGTGACAGTGTCCAATTGACATTGACAATGTCAATAATGTAATCTCCAGGACTTGCCTATGATGTTAGGTATAAATAAGAACACATTGTTATCTCCACTCCCGGTCGCCATCGCTGATTGTTATGAGCGTTTTCTCGTTGATTTTAAGATTTTGATAAAAACGCAGACCAATAACCACACATCATACAGAAAAGCAAGATTTGCGACGAACTGTTTACTATAGCGCACTATGGCGCCATCTACCGCCACGAGTAGCGATCAGTGCGCGATAGTGTGCTCAGTATTTGGCAAAATATATATAGTAACTTGTTTACTTGTTAACATACTTGTTTACTAGTTTAACATGTTAACTTGTTTAAAATTAAGTATTTAATTGGGATCAGATACTTACCCACCCACAAGGAGAAATGATTTGTATTCTATGTCATATTTTTCTTATTACAATGCGTACATGTATAATCATAGCTATCATTATATATACACAATCTATATCAGGGGTGTATGATCTCCCTAATAAATTCTGAACATATTTTCAATAACAGGAATACCGAAATTGTGTTTTGAGAACGCGAAAATACATTGTTAACATTTAAATCTGAAGATTGGTAGATTGCACAGCGCGATCTTGAAATAGCGCAGATCGGAAGATTGCGCGCAACATACATATATATCAGGAGAAGATAATAGGGAATTCCCTATTATCTCCTCCTGATATATATAGGCTACGTATATATAAGAATAGAAATAGCAAGTTCACTAAAGAGAATGCTGTTCCGTTTGGCGTATCCAATGATCCTGTGCTTGGTCTATTGTTTATTCGTGCTTTACTTGTACAGAATATGCTGAAGTTTTTTTTTCTCGTTTATATTTTTTCTTCGTGGTATATAGCACTGTTTTGTATTGTATCACTCAGAAAGCTTCTTTTTTTCATTTTTTCTTTTTTTATATAACTGCTCCAACACTTGCCTTAATCACTTTACTTGTACATAATATGCTGAATTTTTTTTGTGTATATATTTTTTCTTCACGCTGTATATCAATGTTTTGTACTGTATCACTGTATCACTGTATCAGTATGTACAATGTTATGTTGGACCACAATGGAAATAAGTGTGTTAGCCACGCTTTTTGTGTTTTCATCCTCGATAATTTTCTAGCTGCATTTTGTTTTATTTATGCTGTTATCGATGTAATGTATGCTTTGTTAATTATCGAAATAAATAAATCAAATCAAAAAAAAAAAGACGACGCGGTGCCTCGTACGTAACTATTGGGGCTGCAGCCTCGGATAGAGGGAAGGTACGCGGATTTTTATTGCGTGTAATTCCAATACAAATACATGTACTAAAGACAGTTTTTTTATGGAGAAAAAAATCTGCTAGACGCAATAGTGTTGAACACTTTAAAATGATAAAATTTCGGAGTAATACAGTACAAAACAGCGCTATACAACAGTATGAAAAAATATAATACAAAAACGATAGTACTTTCTGTACAAGTAAGGTGATACTTAAAAATCATTTCAACACTCATGCGTAGGCCTACTCACACGCACGCGCTCACTCTCGTATAATCTCACACACATACATACATATTCACACACACATACGCACGCACGCACGCTCGCACGCACGCTCGCACACACACACGCACGCACGCACACACAAGCGCGCGCATATATATATATATATATATATATATATATACTAGCCTGGTACCCGGCGTTGCTCGGGGAAAAACGCTTAGGAACAACTCTTAAGAGCAAATTCAGCCACATACACTTACTTAATTCTAAAATATTTTCACACCCCCTCCCCTTAACCCATACGATCCCCATCAGAAAGGAAAGAGAAGCGTACTGGATTCGCAATTTAAACACTATCCAGGCAAATGGACTCAATCTACGGGTAGAGATTCCGGGTTGGATAGAAGCCAGTAATCACCCTCCCACCAGCATGGTATACACGCAAGGCTAATTCTCAGCCGACACTCTAGGGTAGCGAGTGGCTCGGTTTACCTTTTTATAATTTTTTTTTTTACTTAATTCTAAGGATAGATTGGTAACAGAGAAACAAACAATAAGCAATATTCTGACAAAAACAGTTCGAACGATTCTATGATTCTTTGTAGTCAAAGCTTCTGGATATACAACATTGTTATGAAATTGCGCCAAGTTATTATGAATATGCCTCACTGGCTTTGCAAGCCTTGTCTCACCTTTTAAATACGCAATAATGACAACTGTCACGTGTCTCTCTTATCATTGGGATTCGCTTTACATCAAAATAATAAATGAAAACTAAACTAAACTAAATACATGGGTCAATAAACTAAACCCGTCAATATAGCACGGTATCAGTTCAGGGTCACTTTCATCGTAAAATAATGAGCAGATTTTAAAAAGTTAATATTTCTCCAAACGTATGGATATCACCTCATTGTAACCAAATTAGTTGGTCAATTTGGCAGAGTTCTGCACCAGTCAAGTCACCATAGATGACATTATCAAAAAGATGAATAGCACCTGATTTTAACGAACGTAATTCTTTATACAGTACCATGTTATACATTATATCCGAATGTATACAAAGACAAGAATTTTAAAAATACAAATGAACGAAAATGAACCACTAAAAGTGTGTGTTGTGCTGCTTTTGGGACTCAACTGACAACTGAGTGCATAATAAAAAAAAGTATAAATCTGGCATAGTTTAACCTGGTATTAACAAAATTTTGGCTCTTGTCCGCTAGATGGTTACATTCGCGGAAATTCGGCTGTTCTACTTTTCTGACATCACCTCACTGCTAAAATTATCGCCCGTATTAAGGCCTATTTATCGTCATTATATCTACAAATATGGGTGGATTTAACAAATATGGATATATGCTTATGTTGGTGTCCGACACACGGGCTATACACTGAGATCGGTGGCGTGGGCCTGATGCTCACCGCGGCGAAAATTACCGAGTCGGAAAATCGGCAGCTCTTTCATTTTATTAACTATATATATATAAATATATATAAATATATAGCAAATTCATCCCATGCCTCCGCAACGGAGTTGAATGTTTAGGCAACAGCGAATGGGGCATATTGTAAACGGAAATAGTTGGCGGCTCGTTTTTTTGCGAGGGTTCTGTAAAATCGTTCCTAAAAGATGCGAATTTTACCTTTTTTTATTTGGCGAGCATGAAGGCAATCCCTTCAGTTTATCGCATAACAAAAGAGCAAAATCTCTCAAACAGCCAGGCTAAATAAAGAATCTCTTCAGTGTTATCGCTGAGAACAGCAAATTTAACAGGTTACAGTAGGATAGTTGGATATTAGAAAGTCACTGGTCGGTTATGGGTCGGTGCTACCTTAGTCGTTTAAATGATTTCTTGTAGATGACATTTTGCGCCGGGGCACAAACCTGCCACGTGTGAGAGTCACTGTTGGTGAAAATAGCTTGTGATGAATAGTTGGTCACTTGATGTGGATGATGGGAGAGTAGCCGTGGAGCACGTTGAAAATGCAACATATAGCTGCGGTGGAGAGAAAGCAGGGGCTGGGAAGACGTATAGAGTCCGAGTTTGTCGAAGTTTTGCCGGCGTGGCGACTGGTTTGATAGGATAGAGGATAGAGTAGGCAAGGGGGGGGTGATGGAGAGTTGAATGCCGCTGTAGTGTGAAGTCCGGGAGGTTTGCGTGGTGGAGCAAGTTTTAACGAGCGGGGGGGATGAGAACTATGGTGAGACAAGGCTCGAGTGGGATTACGGCAGTCAGGGATGTGGGTGGGTGCGAAATGTTAGTCTGGTGCGTTGGGAGGGCCTTTAGTGAGTAGGGGGGTTGGCCTAATGGGCGATGGAGCTATGTCCTGTTATAAAATGAGGCGGGGGGCGCCTGGGAGGGCGATGCTTAGTAGGGTGAATGGAAGTGAAAGAATTCTATGGGGTAGTTGTTGGCTCGGTTTTATCAGGCGAGAATGCTTTGTATGCGAATGAGTGATAGGTTTTGGACAAGACCTGGGTCGTTGTCGTTAGTGGAGGGTAGATTTAATTGATGTAAAGTATTATGTACGGGTACGTAGGACGTAACAGATATTGGCAGTGCGCGCGTGCAGACCTAATGTCGGGACAGGCGAAAGAGAGGGCATCGATATTATAAGATGACGCGGCGACCACTATTTCTCAATGCAAAGGTCAGGACTAGATTGATAAATAAGAACCAAGGAACGTGCATTCCTGTTGGATCATTCACATAGTGCTATATCAGGTCTACGTCACATCGTACATGTACATTCGAGTGTTAGGCACGGTACGATAATGTCGGTGTACAGTCTGGGTCAACGGATGACGCCATATCATCTAAGACGTCATAGCATGGGTAAATGTATGTAGCGGGCGTAGGCGGTAGGCGCTAAACAGGTTTGGGCGGCGGGTGGCGAGACTAATGGCGGGGCAAAGAGAGAGAACGGGTGCATCGATATTATAAGGATGACGCAGGACACACTATTTCGGTTGCGAATGGCAGAAGTGCGCGAGGTAATGTATTAGTACTAGGGGGGTTAAGAAGCAATTAACGTGGCAGTCCGTTGTTATGCGGGGGGTCGACATAGTGGTATATAGATCTAGCAGGTCACACGTAGCACTGACATCTCAGTTTTAGGCGCGTGAGCGTACCTCTGCGGATCTACGCAGTCTGGAGTCACATACCAATTCTCAAGGTCTACGAGTGCACATTACGACAATGCTCAAGTACAGTAGCATAGCACATTCTCAGAGTGTGCAGTAACGATACGGCAGCATCTGCGCTCTGACAGGAGTCCAGTAGGCAGACATTACGCAATCTACGAGAGTCACGGATACGGCACATCTCAGATCTACAGTGGCACATGACGCACATCTCAATCTACAGGTCGAATACGCACATCTCAAACCTGACGAGGGTCACATAGCGCCAGTCTCAAACTTACAGTGGCAGTACGGGCGGAGTCTCAACTAACGAGTCATGATACGACTTTCAACGTAACAGTCAGCAATTAAGCACATTCGAAATCTACAGTCAACATACGCACATCTCACATTACAGTCAATACGCACTCTCAAGTTACGAGTCACGACGCACATCTCAACACTACAAGTCAGATGACGGAACATTCTCACTACAGTCACATCGCAATCTCAGACTTACAGTCAATACGGGCGCATACAATCTACAGTACATATACG